CATACTGACACACCACTGTAGCATCCCTGGACACACCAATGTAGAGGTGTCTCCCAAAAATTGTGTGACATGTAAAAAAAGGAGGGTTTACATCAAAGAATGTCCTATTATATTACAATGATCAAGAGCACAAAAAAACACACAGAAACATTTTGGTTACGGTCATCATTTCCTATCAGCCTGTATCTCTCAGTAAATCACTTACTTCATTCTTAATCTGTCCTGAAACTCAATTATAGTCTTCTGGAGTCCAGGTCTGATCCCAAGTCAATTCAAATCCATGGAAAAACTGTACACTTTATATTCAGGTCCTTCCAGATATAATGCCAAGGAAACCCATGCAGCATGAATTTCTTGCGAGTCTCTGTTTATGTCCAATAGCCTCTCCCTGTACCACATCAACTAAAGATCATCACACAACATCACACGAAGACAGCAGCTGACTAGCTGGCAATTATTGGCTCTTTCATGCTGAAAATGCCTTATTCCCCTGGGACAAATACATCTGCATAATTAGCAAAAGCAGTTACACAAAAAATAATTAGCTTGCTGAAAGTCCAAAGGGGGGAAAACTATAATTTTTGCTTCAAAAGGCTGACTAATTATATACCAAATAACAAAATAGAAATGCACTGAGAATCATCAAGAAATCCAACGTGGATTTTAACTTCATATTCCAGCTATAAAGGGTGCTGGTAGCCTAGCAACAAGCAGCATACTTAAGCATGCCAAAACCTCCCTCTGACTTAATGAAACACCTCAGATTACTATGCAAACGTCCCCCATTCCACTATGCATTCAATTCTTGTATTACTAAATGATAAAAACAAAGCCTAGCCAAAAAAAAAAAATCAAGCAATTCAAGATAAACTGAAAGAAGGACTAATGGATGATGGTATAGAAAGATAAGTAAAACATATGAATTATTTTCATAGACTTAAAATTCACGTTCTGATTAGAGTCGATTCATTACATTTATTCATGGGATCAGAAAATGCCCTATTATTTTAACCACCTTTTCCAGTAGACTGAAGAGTGTTCTCTTTGTGTCTTGGGAAGCACTAGTTAAGGAACCTTTAACGGTTTACACAATACTCGCTAATCTCCAAATTACTCCCGATATACAAAAAAATGCTGCTGCAGTTGCTTTCTTTTATTTGCATCTTCAGTGACCTGCTAGAGGAAACTCATCCCAAACAGCAGTCTTAGAGATGAAAGACCAGTTTTAGTCATCGTTCTTCTTTGACCAGTTCTTTTGTCATACTTCACCATTTCAGAAGCCACAGTCGCTTTCCCACCTGCCCAGTACCGCTACGTTCTGCAAGTAATCAGGCTGGACAACCACTTTCAAAGTCTTGTTGTAATTGGCACAACTCCAGCACTCCCGGGCCAGGGCTTAGTTACGAGTGACCCTTTAGCCAACAGCTTGCTCTTGGTTACCCACCCAAGAAGCACAGATTCACTATATTCACCCAGAAGACCACATAAAAAAAGTTAGACTTGATCTTTGCTCGTGAGCTGGGAAGTCATGATATAGCTTCAGTGGCATACGTTAACCCTAAGCAACAGAAAGCCCTTCCCCAAGGGGCAAAGCGTGGTACTTTTCAGCCAGGTCTTTCTGCAGCCAGTACGCGCCCAACGCGGGGGGCAGAAAACCCCGCGCGAGGCAGCTGACGCAGCTCCGTCTGCGGTGCCGTTTTACGCTGACAGGGGCTTACAAGCTGCAGCCTGTACAAACATTTGCCAGTCTGCCTCCCAAAACCTCTGGGACACCGATCCAGCCTGCCCAGAGCTAGAAATAGTACACGCTAGCTACAGAGAAAGACTAACACGAGCTTTTAAGACACAGTGTTAACTCCACCATATCGCCTGAAGTCATCTAACCAGGTCATATCACGTGAAGGTTAAAGCGTTACTAGCGTGTTCACAACTTGCCGGTGTGACTAACTAAAAGGAGCGGTACTAATGGTAACAGATAGACATCCTCAGAATCAGTACTGTACTCTGCCAGACTCAAAGGATTAACAAGACTGAGACAGCTATTTCCTGAGAAAGGCAAATCTTTTGGATGTGCAATATTTTTTCTCATCTTCCCTGGTGACTCTGACAACTTCTTCAAAAGCTGCAGGAGCTGTCAGGGACAAAAGAAACCTGACAAACTTTGCTTGTCTTTAGGCCATAATAAACTTGTGAGCACGGGTGAAGGTAAGCCTCCTCCACTGGCTTACACAACCTCAAAAAGATAAACTGAAAGTTGCACAGAGCTGTTGACACATTAGATACAGTGAGCATGTACGCTGTACTTGGGCTGTGCTTGGAGGGTGAGGAAGAAGCAACAAACCAGCCTATAGCACTATGGGAAACTGAATCCTCCCCTCACACCAAAAAAGAAAAGATATTAATAACTAATGTTCTTATTATTAGCTTCACAAATGAGAACTACTTTAAAATTAACTCATACAACTACAGACTTCGTTGTTGTTGTTGGACAAGATGAAAAGGTTCTGGCAGAGCAATGCGAGATTCTGCCCCTTCCACGCCTTGCTCTCACCCCTTAACATGCCTCCGCTCTCCCCAACTCCCTTTCCCCCAGGCTACTCCTTGGTCTCAGTGCCCACACAGAGGATCCAACAGAGGAGAAACGCTAACACACGCTCTAGGGATTGCGTCCAGCCACAGTGCGAGCAATGAGAGCGAGACATCAGCAGACCAGGTTAAGCAGAGTGAGGAAGGCAGGAGTACTCATGTCCGGAAGCACAAAAAGCCTGACAATGGAGCCAAGGATGTGAGACAGGGTGTGTAAGGTCTTGGGCACTGTTATGCGCAAGAAAGTTAAATCTTCAAATTCATCAAAACAGTGACAGAGGAAGGGGTAAAAAAAAAATTCTCAGTGAAGCCTAAAACTAGCAGATCTAATACACATAGATGCTTTCCTTGCACTTACTAAAAAAAATAATTTTAAAAAAAAGATAAACCAACGTTCTTATGGAGTCCTTCCTTGGCAATTTGAAAACAGATAGTTTGCTTTCTTGGAAAGAGATGGTACTAAGAATTGTCTGCCCAGAAAAGGTCATCCCCATTGTCCCGTCTTGCTGCTTTGATGTTTTCCATGGTGCCAGTAGCCTTGAATCACATCACAGCATGTGCTAGGAAGTTCAGTCTAGAGATCAGAACCACCTCTCAGAAGCCAAGGACTAGCAAGTGATGTCTCTGGTACTGTTCTGGGACATGTAGATGCTAAAATGATGGCACAGCTAAAACTTGCATTGCAAATAAGTTAACTCTAGTTTCTTGCTCTTCATTAAAGTTTATTCTTAGATGTATCTTACCTATTTCACACTAAATATTCTTCTAATCAGTTGTGACATATCCAATTTTCTACTAGTATCACCTCCATTTGGAGGTGATACATGACAGAAAAACCCTCTGTAAACTTAACTTAAATTTAGCTAGGGGCACGTTAAGCTCCAAAATCTTTCCCCCTTCCCCTAGAGAAGTAACCCAATCGAATTCCCACCCAGTCATCACCCCACCACAGCATTTGTTTAAAAAGACCACGTAGGAATAAGTCTCATCACAGAGCACAAGTCTGTCTCCTCCAACTCCAGACAACAGCAATCTACATAGTACAACGATGCATCGAATTAACTTTTAATTTTTCGAAAGCCTATCCTATTCCACTACTAGCAAAACAAAAATTCTACCTTTGCTTTCCACTTGCCTAGGCTGAGAAATTGGATCAGTTGTAAGCTTGTTTCAGTTTCAGTTAGGAAACTTGAGTTTTACAAACATTTTAACATGTTTGCTAAGAGATTAAATATTTACTCCTCTCCCCCTTTAAAAAAAGTACAAGGACATTTGTTTCTCAACTGCACTTTTTTGCCACTGTAAGACTCATCTACCAATACAGCCAGTATTTTCCCACATTATGCAAAAGCAAAATTTTAACTCATTCCATCACAGAGAAACCTGCACTAGGTCTTCATCCTTCCCAGACATAGAAGACAGTATCACATGACAATTCTGAATAATCCAAAATATAACTTCAGAATTTTCAAATAAATCCATTTTATTATTTCCTGCAGGGATGAAGTTTACTGTATTTTAAAATGGGTATGGCAAGAAGAATGGTGTCTAGAAATGAAAGAGATTTTTTTTTGTAATTTAAAACAGCAGAGACCTCTCTGCTCTCTTGGCTTCTGAAAGCATGGTGGGAAAGACTGGGGACATCACCTCTCCCGCTCTTGGCCTTGCGGAGGGTGTGAGCTTGGATAGGAACCCGCAGCACTGAACCCACGTTCTTCATCTCTGCTCTACTTGGCTGTTGGTAGAAAAATGAATTCCCTCACCAATAATTCCTTAAAAATTAGTAACACTTATTAAAAATACTTTCTAGCTCATAAGCTTATCTGTAGGAAAAGCAGTAAAACACTCTTGCTTTTAAAAATAAGCAAAATACTAGTCTTAGACAGAAAAGACACAATTAAGTCTCTGATAAGGCTCTTCAACTATCAGTCATATTCAAAGTACGCAAACTTAGGAACTGCAAAACACAATCCCTGAACAATATAAGCTTTAAAATGGAACACTACTACATTTAATATGTACACTTCCTGTGCTATTTAGGGCATTAAACTGAAAAGGTATCTTCTCTTAAATTACTATTTAATTTACCTTATGAACAATTTAAACAAAGATGCACATGGACTTGAGAACAGAAGATGTATTTCCCTAATGAAACTCAAGTGGAAAAGGAGGACAGCTTTAACACCTCTTGTTCTTGAAACTTGTGCTTCCTTCTCCTTTGATACTACTAGGAAGACAGGGCAGACTAAGTAAACATCAATTTTATTTGCTGCAAAAGCTATGTGTATATCTCTAAACAATCACCCATACATGTTTTCCCTAACAGAATGCTTACTTTTGTGTCCATTTGAATGCCTCACCAATTGAAAATTGCTAAAAAACACCAAAAAGAGAGTACAAGTACTTCTACTCACCACCTGAACTCTGGATCATGTTTCCAGATTTTTGGACCTCATCGAATTTTGTAAAAATTACATTCAACCTGTTTGAAAGTTAAAGAAATACACAATGAACAGTTGAATAATTTTTAGGAATCATCTAATTTAAAATATTATAGGACAAATTTTACTTCACTCAGGTCATTGAGAGCACTGTCAAAAATGTCAGTGTGGAGGGAAGTTTTTTTTATATCACAACATGCAATAGCCGATAAAAACTGAGAAACAAGCGATACTACAGAGGTGCAAGAGATCCAATTGGAGATACTACATTACTGAAGATGTGACATGCCAATTGTAAATGCATTTCCAGTTCATCAGCACTTTGCCTATCTTAACTATTTGCAGACATACCACCAAAAAAACACTCCCAAAAAACAACTTCACACACCATTTCTCTTTGGCCCTGACACTTCTTTCCCATTCATGTCACAGGCTTGGTGGAGCAGAATATCCTTCTCACATCTCGTTATTCCTTCCCAGAGGATTTATTACTTCAAGGCCGCGTTGTAGCAGCAGACGTTTTCACCGGAGGACAAGAGGCAGCAGTCCTGCCTCCCCCTGCGCACACCCCACCTCCGAAACAACCTCCTGCCTCTGCACTGTCCCACTGCCGCCTGCTCCATCCTCAGGTCTAACCTTGCTGCAACCGCCAGCGTGCAGAGCCGCTTTCTTACCACACCTAAGCGGCGGAAGCAGAGGGACAGGGCTTTGGTTTTGGTGTGGGGTTTGTTTTGTTTTGTTTTAATAAAGCCTTGGAACTGATGCTGACTGTGAGTTTGTCTCTTTAGGACAGCCTTCCAAGTTGCATAAACACAGCCGACTCTGAAGTGTCCCCTCTACACATGCAGAGCACACAGGAAAAACACCACATTAAAGCTTAAATCAGTTAACTGCACATCTGTAATAATTTTACTGGTTTTCCAAAGATGCTGTGGCATACTTGGGCAAAGATACAGGATCCACATTAAGTGAAACCTGAGTGTTTGTACGACCAAAGAAGCCAAACCCCCATCCCAGGAAAACGTTCAATCGTGCAGCTCCTGAGGCCTTCTAAAGGAAGGAAGGGAATAAAAAGCAGCCCAAAAATAGCGAAGACATAGGGACATTCTCAACTCACCGAGATTGGGGTAATCCTTTTTTACTGAGGTCAGCCCTTACACGTTCACCAACATGTCTGTAAATCTCCACAAGGCTGTTTATCGCTGCATCTCGAACCTGAGTGTGAAATATGAGAGAAATCAATCATCTTTATAATTTAAATAAATAAATCCCTGCCCTACCTTCGAGAAAGAAATTTACTTATTTCTCAGCAACAACAAGCTGCCACTATACACATTACCACAGAGTTCATGAAGGAGCTTCCATCCTTGCATTTCAGATATTAGCGGTAACAGTAGGTCTAATTTAATTGAAGAGGCAGTCAAGACATATGATGAAAGGTTTTGTACATAGGGACGCACACAGGGAGCTCGGTTGCCTTTGCCAAACTCCACCCATTGTGTGCAACAGGTACCTTTACTGGATTAAAAAAAAAAGAGACAAATAGACCTGATATTGCTAGTAGGTTATAAAACAAACTATTTTTAAAGTTGTCTTACAGACTTATGTTTCTGTGTTGATAAAAAAATATGGAGAGAGGGAAGAGCAATCAATCACCCAAGTCACCATGAGTTTTGTATGTTTTTCAAACTGATTTGCAAGAAATTGCCAAGCACATCCCTCCCTCCACCCAACAGAAGAGCCACGAGTCTGATTAAAGTGTTACCTTTCTGTACTGAACGCCCTTCCTCCATCAGACACTCAGGCAGAGAAGGTAAACCATCTGCTCTGCCTACAGAAATACCTACGGAGCTGTGCTTCCCAGAGGTGGCCTGGCAGCTACCCAAGCACCCACACGCATCAGGACTAGACACAGGGTATTTTGCGGGCACAACCTAAAATCGCCTATAGGTGGGAGTCAAGGGGCAGGCACACGTGCCCTCCTTCCTAGCCAAAAAAAAAAACCCAAAACCCTAACACTTGACTCACACTCATCTCGCCCCACTGTCCTGCTCCGCAGCCTTCCCATTCCCCAGGTCACGGGGGGATGTTGCCAGTTTCCAAACTCCTGCCTTCACTCACACCAGCCCTCACTTAGCGGTCTTGCCTCTCTTCTCTCTGCCCATCTGTACACCACCGGGCTGGACTTCTGGGCACAGCTCAGGAGGAACTCTTTGGTGTCCCCACTTCCTGGGTACGCAGACCCTAACCCAGCCTCGCTCTCTGCCTCCGACAGTCTGGGAGGAGAGGAGAGATGCAGCGCCCGCACCTCTCACCTGTGGCAAGACCCTCTGCCCCGGGGCCGAGGCCCACACGCCGGCAGCGGGAACATGGCAGCCAGGGCATGCCGACAAGCTCTGCCGTAGCCCCAGCTCGCCGCCGTGACCCGTCCAGCTGCGACACGCAGCGCAGCCGACCGCAGAAGTCCTCACTGCGTGATCTGGAAGGATTGCCTGTCCCCATACTGGCCAAGGCAGGGACACCCTGCTATCATACTTGGTTTAGTCTACCACAGCAATAATAAAGCTTTAATGCTCAATTCTATTTTTGAGAAAATAGCCATCGTTTAGATACTGATGTCATACCCAATGCTAACTGGATTACACAATTACATTAGTTGAAAACAACAAAATCACTCTTTCTGAAAAGGGCAGTAATAGAACAGCTTCTATGTCCACATCAAAAGGGAAAACCACTGTACTTGACCTGCATCTGTGCTTCTCCATTCTCTCTCACCAAGAGATGGCAGCATTGACCGAGCATCAGGTCTCCCAGAGCTCGGGAGAAGGCACCAGCAGCGCAGAAGCTGCCCAGGGGAGCCCAGCAGCAGCCCTTGCCCCAGGACAGGCACTGTTCAATCAGGAGCCACTTCGACAGCGATTAGTGTCTGATCAGTTCGGGCAGGGAAAGCCCGTGGGATCATGAGCTGTGCCAAGCACATGGAAGAGGTCGTGCAGAGGTCAGTGCTCTCACTAACTTAAGATTCATTCAACAGCTCACCAACGGCAGAACCAAAGTGTCTCTGCAACAAGTCCAAGTCCTAAATCCAGCATCCCCTTGAAGAGTAAGAGCTTGCTCAGTCACAGCTCACAACTACAAAGGATGCTGAACATGAAACTTCCTTAGAAACTTCTTGGGGTAACGGGTTTATCCTCCTGCATTGGCACAACGAGCAAGGGAAGGCTGCTTCCTCCTCAGTCCTCCTCTTCAGCAAGGGGAGGCCCCAACAGCCATGGGTATATGGCCAACTGCCCAGGGCCAGTGTAAACCCATTCCCCAGTCAGCCACCCCACACTTCCTTCCAGCTAAACGCTCGCTCCAGACCTGGATCGTATACAAGTCACCCATGCTGGGAGGGCAACAGGGATATTCAAACACTGCTTGTACTCGTATTACAAGTCTGAACTCTGCTTCCCCAGCCCCCTCTTCACACTAACCTCATATACTCGCATCAAATTTCAGATTAGGGCCTGTCCAGGGCAGGACAAAAAGCATGTAGAAGTGATAGATTTGTTTTTGTTTTTTTTTTTTCCCCTCAGCATGTATTTTCATTTGGCTTGCATCACTGATTTAAGGTTCTTAGACACTTGCCTTGCCTCCACCCCTTATTCAGAATCTCCCTGTACAACTCTGGCAGTGCACATGGCCAGGCTGTCTGACTGGTCCCATTTGCCTTCCCTGCCTAGACTGGTTGTTCTCTGAAGGTGAAGGCTGCTGCACCGAGCCCAAAGGGATCCCGGCAGCCTCCCCTGCATTCGGGCTGTAAAGCACAGGAGGTTCCTTCCCACAAAGGTTTCCTGCTCTGTTCATCTCACCTGCAGATTCATGTTATTCTGTTGAACTCTTGGAGTAATTGATATGCTAGTTTAGGCATATGTCAAATCATACCTCTTCCAAACCAGCCATGGGCTCTTTGTGAACAGCACTGTTCAGAGTTCACCACCAGCAGCACAATTAGCTAATTTACCAGCCAGGACGCAGAGCCCTACTTACCGACAAGGCAATCAGCACAACCTTTAGACGTGACTCACAGCAAAAGCTTACCTGGCTGTTTGGATCTCCAAGTAAGTTACATATATGTGGCACTATCTTACTCAGTGTCAGGCTCTGAGCTCCAGATCTGGGAATTAAGAACAAAAGAGCAGTGTGAATCACAGAGCAGGCCTGTGTACATAACGTAGGGTTGCGGGAGGTTCTGACTTACGCATTGAGTGTTGCAATAAGGCAGAGGCAAATCCCTTCCCTCGTCCGGAAATTTTTGTGTTTGAATCCTCCTAGCATCCTGTCCCACACGTACTGTGGAAGAAAGAAAAGAATGTAAGACAGGAAAAAAGGAGGCGGAGGAGGATACAGATTCTTTCTTCCAGGAGACATACACCATAATGTCTCTGGAGCTTAAATACAATCTTTACATCCATCCAAGCAGAACAAGACAAGAAGTAGAAAGACACTTTTAGATCTGACTAATTCTTTGATCTGTGCTGACTTCATAGTAACTCCCCACTAGCTAACACAATACTATCACTTTCAGAAAGCAAGTACCTTCCAAAGACCCAGAACAACTACTCTGACATCCACCCATCCTTGAGAAATCCGCTAGCACTCACACTCCCATGTGTATCCTGACATGCAACAGCATTCTCAAGTGAAGCAAATATCTCACAACAAGGCGTAGGGAGATGAAGCCATCTCAGACAGAGTCACAGGAGAAAACCCTCTGTCTGACAGAAAAAAAGTCCTTTTTAAGCAGCCAGTCACTCCTGCTGCAAAGGGCTGTCGAGCATACCTGAGGGTTAGCAGCTTGTTCCATGATTTTTAGCAGCAAGGTCTGATCCTGCTCCCTCACCGAGTCCTTAGAGTCTCCCAGCCTATCAAGTAAACTTGGCAGCACTGAGGAAAGAAAACAGGAACATCCAAATCCCTCAGAAGGAAACTACAACAGTGGCACAGCCTCTCTGCTCTCCCCCTGCCCTTCAGCAGAGCCTGAAATCACCAAGAGCCTCCCAGGCACTCTCCTGGAGAGGAAAAAGGCTTTGTGTCCAAGGTCAAAAGGCTTTGTGTGCAAAAGCCAGCTGGGATCTCAACAGCGCGATGGCAACAACCCGCGACGCACACACACACAGACCCCTTACCTGTGCCAATCTGGGCCTTGAAGCGATCTTGCAAGCGGGACACGAGCGCAGAAAGGATGTCAATCCCCAGGAGAACCACCTGCAAGCACAGGATAGATGTCATTTTAGCATGCAGCCCTTCACCTCAGCGAAGGCACCCAAGAGGCGGGAGCGCCGGCACCTGCTCCCCTGGGAGGAGAGCCCCTTCCCTCCCTCCCACGCCAGCGGCACCACGTCCATCTGCCCCGACGCCGCGCTCACTCAGCTAACGGGGTTGCACAGATCCACGCAGCTCTTCCTTGCGTGGCTTCTGGCAGACAAGCCGAGTGATTTACAAACAGAAAAGCCCCCAAATTATTGCTCCCTGTGACATTTACAAGCCAAAATTCACTGCCAAGAACTTGGCAAAGCCAACAACTGTAATTGCCACTCAGTGCTAAAATCATACATATTTATATGCAATGTACACATATCATATGCATAACAGTTTCAGTATTTGCTGTAACTAACATTTCCAATTGTAATTATTACATTTATAATTAGAAAATGGCGTGCCCTAACAGCCACTTAATTATTCACTCACAGAAATTAAACCCAACACTTTCATGGCATAACCGAAACCCAGGGAAAGGCACTTTGAGAGAAGCTTCAGGACACGCTGCAGGTCAGAAAACCCACTCTAACTCCATTTAATAACAGTACCAAAAAAATACATCATATACTGAATATACTGTGCAGCTTGTATACTAAATACTTAGCAAGACCCTGTAGATCACGACAGCTCTGGCATGAGCAGTTCTCTAAGTTTTAACGAGGCACTGAGGTTAGTAGCCCCTGGAAGTGTTACAGACAGCCAGGCTCCTGAGTATCACCAGGGCTGTCACAGCGCAGCCCCAGTCCCTGCGCGTTTACATATCCATATACTTAGTCTGGAGAAGAGGAGGCTGAG